ATGTCGTCTGACCTTAAAACAATAAAACTAGTATGCTGTTTTTATCTTAAACTCTTTATAATGTACACTACAAACAAATTTTACCGACTCGACTTTATTTCCAATACTGACTAATTCTACTACATGTACAGTTATTGCCGAGATCAAAGAGATGCCATGCCCATTATTATCCAATAAATCACGAATGTCATCAAAAGATTATTTGATCAGAAACACATATAAAACTTGTTAACAAGAATTAAAAATGTGACATTAGAATGTAATACATAATTAGACTTTATCATCGTCTCGGTTTCTGCAATCTACATGATGTGTCTCTTTTTATAGAGGTTTCCATGGACCTCCGAACAACATGTACACTACATGAACTTACGTTAAAGCAATTGAGTCGACAACAGATTTTGCTATTTTAGAATCATAAAAAATATTTAATATATGTTGCAAAAAATATTATAAATTATAAAAGGATAAATGTTAACCAAAGAAAGTTCGAATCCTCTGCACTCCTTTGCAGGCAATACACACGTAAACAAGTTGACCCTGGTGTTCGACATGGCGACCCAATTCGTTTCTCTATAGAAAAACGGTTTACGTTTCATGGGTGTATTCAAATTGTTATACTCTGTACACAACACTGAGCACGGACTGACAATACTTGAGTGAGTGGGTTTTGCTTTCGCACATTTTTACTCTGAATTTTATTTTCTGGATTATAGATGTAATATTATTCATTAAAACACAACAGAATTGCTACTTTTCTTAAGTATTAAGGATAAAGATAAAAATTGTGAAATTGCAAGGATGTGTTAATCAAAAGCCTCCCGAAATTCGTAGTTTCAATAATTTCCAGATTAAATAAGTTTTTTATTTTATTTTCGTGTGAAATGCTATAGCAACATATAAGTTGTGATATTATACAGAAAATTTGAGAAAATTTTAACTTCAAATCTGTGTCTATGCACCTTTAAAGCAACTCTATGACGAACTGAACACATTATCACTGTGTTGAAAACAATTCATAAGTAGATATTTGTATTCGCTTTATTTTCGGGGGAAATGTCGTCTGACCTTAAAACAATAAAACTAGTATGCTGTTTTTATCTTAAACTCTTTATAATGTACACTACAAACAAATTTTACCGACTCGACTTTATTTCCAATACTGACTAATTCTACTACATGTACAGTTATTGCCGAGATCAAAGAGATGCCATGCCCATTATTATCCAATAAATCACGAATGTCATCAAAAGATTATTTGATCAGAAACACATATAAAACTTGTTAACAAGAATTAAAAATGTGACATTAGAATGTAATACATAATTAGACTTTATCATCGTCTCGGTTTCTGCAATCTACATGATGTGTCTCTTTTTATAGAGGTTTCCATGGACCTCCGAACAACATGTACACTACATGAACTTACGTTAAAGCAATTGAGTCGACAACAGATTTTGCTATTTTAGAATCATAAAAAATATTTAATATATGTTGCAAAAAATATTATAAATTATAAAAGGATAAATGTTAACCAAAGAAAGTTCGAATCCTCTGCACTCCTTTGCAGGCAATACACACGTAAACAAGTTGACCCTGGTGTTCGACATGGCGACCCAATTCGTTTCTCTATAGAGGAAACGATGAGCCGCATTTTAGAACTGTTAGTAGGATAAAAATAAAGTTCTTGTTGTCTACAGAAACTATTTCTGAATTATATCAAGAATATTTTGGAAAGTATGTTTTTTAGATATAAAGAACGATTCAAATCGCAAAGAAAATTGGGATCTGTCTGCATCTTACTGAGCAACGGTACAAATAATTTGATCTTTTAGCATTAAATTGTAACCTTTAGGTTAATCACTTTAACCTTTATCATATTTTACCAAAGTGATCAGGGCAATTAATATAATCTTATTTTATGTTAAATAGTTTGAATAATATTTAAAACTTTTAAAAACCTTGCAAATTAATGCGCGTAAACTATCAAGTGACCTTTTTACACTTATAAAGTATCATAATTTGGGGATTAAAAAAATCTATTAAAAAGCAATAAAATAGTTTCTTGTTCAAACTTGCTACGACTTAAGTGTTGATTGGTTCAAATTATCATATAATTTAAAATAATGAAAGAAAAAGTCAGGGCCTGTAATGTAAATTTTGAAATATTGGTCAAAATATTTGATTGTTTTGAATATATATATTTCTAAACTATATGTCCTAAGTTGACCAAACTTGCATGAATGATACAACTAAGGATGCAGACTACTGGAAATGCTTCACGGATGCTGGATCTGACTTACATTTTCCAGATGACTGTTCAGGTTAACGGTTTTGGAGCAGGTTTCTTATAAAGTAACTATTTGCCCTACCTGGACCAAACATATTTGGACGATACATCTTAGAATGCACACTACTGGACTTGCTTCAGATGCTGAATCTGACCTACATTTTCCAGATGAGTGACTTGCTTAAAAATTTTGGAGCAGGTTCACTCTAAAATAACTATTTGCCGTACCTGGACCAATCTTGCATGGATGATACATCGAAGGATGCACACTACCATGGTTGCTTATTATGTTGAATTTTACCCACATTTTCCAGATGAGCGTCCAGATTAAAGTTTTTGGAGCAGTTTCTTTCCAAAGTGATTATAAATCTTATGCTTACCATCTTTACACTGAAGATACTTTTATTGATGCACACTTCAAGGGTTGCTTTGGATTCGGGATTTGACCTACATTTTCCACATGAGTTAACAGGTTAAAGTTGTTGAAACAAGGGGCCTATCTGAACCAAACTTGCATAAATGTTCATCAAGGAATGCAATCTTGCATGGATGATACATCGAAGGATGCACACTACCATGGTTGCTTATTATGCTGAATTTTACCTACATTTTCCAGATGAGCGTCCAGATTAAAGTTTTTGAAGCAGTTTCTTTCCAAAGTGATTATAAGTCTTATGCTTACCATCTTTGCACTGAAGATACTTTTATTGATGCACACTACCAGGGTTGCTTTGGGTTCGGGATTTGACCTACATTTTCCACATGAGTTACCGGGTTAAAGTTGTTGAAACAACGAGCTTATCTGAACCAAACTTGCATAAATGTTACATCAAGGAATGCAAACTACCAGAGTTGCTTCAGATGCTGGATATGACCTACCTTTTCGAGATGAGTGATTAGGTTAAAGTTTTCGGAGCAGATCTATTACATGTACCAAGAAATTACAAGGTTTATCTGAACCAAACTTGCATTGATAATGCATCAAGGGATGAACACTCCCAAACTTGCTTCAGATGCTGGATATAACTTACATTTTCTGAATGAGTAACTACATGTAATTTAATTTTTTTAGATTAGTCCATACCTTAGTAACTGCAAGCCCTATCAGACCAAAATTGCATAAATGGTGCATCTAGGGATGCACACTTCTAGATTATTAGTTTAGTGTGGGATTTTGCCTTACTTAAAGACATCATTCGTTGAGGTGAGATCTGTAATCTCTGATTACCTTTGTTTTATATTTCACACCGAATCGCCTTGAACAGAAATACATCTATGTAATTCAATCCATAAATCGGTCTTCTCTTCTAAAAGCCACAACTTTTCTAATGGTTTTATAGACCAAATAAGAATAGTCATGTCTATTTTTACAGAATAGTTTTCTTAATTATACCTGCAGAGTTGGATATTAATAGCAATATTTGACAGGAATCAATTTTCTGTGACTATGTGTAAACAGCTTAATTTAAACATATTTTAAATATAACTGTGCAGAAAATATTGTAAGAAGCATAAATATACACATACATAATGTGCTTGAACTATCTTTCTTAGGACAATGAGGGAATTTTTATTCATTTAGTATTTGTTTTTGTACTGTTCAAAGCAAAATAATATAATCTGGTCTGGTAATATCTGCACTAAGAAATTTTAAATTTATTTTTGTCAAATCACTATCCTCTCATTTATTTTGGCTCTGTTTGATTTTCATAAATCACTCAAACACAGATTAGAATTGAAAATGGTCATTTATTAATTAAATGACGTAATATGAAAACCAAAAAACTAGTTACAAAAATTATCTAACAAAACCCGAATGTATATTAAAAACATATATTGTCAAATCCGAGTCGAAAACATCTCTAATTGTAAAAAATCATTATGCAAACATGAACACAGAGTATTACATAATATATTCAACGTTATGTTCTTGAAAATCAAAGGTGGGGGACCAAAAATTGCCACAGTATTACTTGAAAAGTAATACCCCCCACCCCAAAATGATTGAGAGATATACAATTGTATAGCATATGTACCTGACATATGTCAACGGCAAGAAATTGAAATAAAATCAAATACATGACTAGGTTTCTACCATTAGAATTTAACCTGAACACAATAACAAACATCAGAAATATTCCAAATTATTCGTTCATCTTGCGTTCACCGTTTACTTTGAGCTCCCGTTTGCCCTCCGATCGCGTACTGCGTTCGCTCACTGTTCACCGTTTAATAGTTGCGTTCAGCGTTCACACCGTTCGCTCTGCATTTGTTCTCTGATCAAGTAGGAAAGCATAACGTTTGACTATAGTCTATAAAAATATTCAAGTAAGGCATCTTCATTAAACCCCGTATTTGTCCCGGATTTTAGTTGAAAAATGACCTCTAGAAATAACGTTTCTGTGTTATGTTTCGAATTTTTTTTTATGTCATGCGAATGCTTACTAATGCTTTAGTAATATTGGAGATGTGTAGGTTCCATAACCAGTGCGAGTTAGTAACCTGTTTTTTTGTTTTTTTTCACAACTTGAGTACCTTAATTTTTCTTCTTAATTTTCAAGAGACACGAGGCTATTTTGAAAATTAAAAAAATAAAGAAAGAAGTTTGAGAAAACTGGTTACTAACAACATGAACAAGCACTGGTTAAAAATTTAGTATCCTTTTCTCCCATCATACAAACATGAACTTGGGTGTTTTGGTGAGATGAACATGGCGCTGAGGAAGTTGTCCATCCCGTTAGTATTTACGTTCCTGGTAATATAACTCGATGATCTGTAGAAATTAAATATACAAGGGAAAATTGAACAAGATTAAGATTTTAAATGTAGATGCTTATTAACATACACTTTACCTGCATTTTATGTCATCATAGGCACGAACTTTGAAAATAGAGCCTGGAAAAGCAGTCAATTAGAATCGTCGTTGGTAGAAGTAGCCATGAACACGAAAAAAAAGAACTACAGCGCGGGAGTGATGAAACTCGGTTAATAATGAAAGAATATATGTTCTGATTGTCATTTACGTATTAGCAGATTTAGCTTAACAATCAAAAATCATTCGTATCCAAAAGTTATCAAATTTACATTAGAAGAAATTAAAAAAGGTATTGCTAACAGGAAGTATACATTTAAGTGATGAAAAGCTCAAATTACGGATAAAAACTCTTTCAGTTACTGATAGCTACAGAAGAGGGTAAACACCTCTGCAAAATGTTGATACATCCACTTGTCCAAACGTGGTTTCTGGAAAGAACCTATTTCTACTCGAGAAATATGATGTTAAATTTAGTGTTATGAAGTCAAGTTGATTTTAAGAATTAACTTTGTTAAGAACTATCACGAGAAAAACTTGAAATGATGACCCATTACCTTTAATGCTGTAACTATATGTTCAAAAGACAAGGCAGAGATAAAAGAAGTTTCATTTCAGGTGAGCGAGTTTGACACAGAAAATGATGATCCATTGATGTTTCCCAAACTGGTCGGTGAAGCGGTAGTGAGAGGGTGGGCACTGGAAAAAGTACATGGTACGGACAACCTATATAGCGTGTTTCATTAAAAAAAAATTATACTGCCCTAAAAAATTATAAAGTTATTGGTTTTTACTTTGTTTTTAGCTTACATGTGTCAAACTCAAATTCAATTTCAAGACGTTGAAGTTCAATGTAAAAAGAAAATCGGTTGAAGTGTTTATGTTATGTTTATGTTATAAAACGATAGCTGGTGGAAATCTTAATTCCGATGGTCAATTTAGTTGGAAAATATTCATTTCTCTAAATTCGATTTGCCAATGGATTTTAATCCTTGACATTTTACAAAAAATAAGTACATTGGCAAGATATTAACTTTTTAACAAGGACAAGAAAATATAAAATAATTAACAAAGGCATCGCAAAGCGGAGCATCCCCTCGCAAAAAAGAACGTGTATCAACCTCGAATTATAACTAACGTTACGCAAGCACTCAATCATCCATTTCTATATAACACCCCCCCCCAACTCCGTTGTAAGAGGATATATTTTATATTGAAGGTTAACACACTTTAAGTTTTTATATACTTTTATAATTCTCATCGTTCGTCTCAAACCACTGTTCGGAGTCCGCATATATAGCTATCTCCTACCCGTGGCTGCTTGATCACATAAAAATTGTCGTAATCTTGAATAATTATGCATCTATGCTGTGATGTCGTGTTCAGCCAATGACAACATTTGTTTCCATTGCAATATTGAAATCGACAATTGACATCATCAGTAAACAGAAAATATTTCGTAAACTTCGATTGGGTATTGAAAGATCGCGTGAAAGTTCATTTTCCGACTATGCTTTACTTGCGTTGGTCAATATTTTAATGAGCAACGAAATATTCTCTTCTCATTCAACCACGGCCAGAATGGGAGAGGATCGTGTATTTTGGTCGTGGTTTGCGACGATTTATAATTCTAAGTAATTAAGTAAATACAATGACTACATGTATGTTCAATGTTATGAGGTCCGTGATCAGAAAGAACTGCGAACGATAGTATTGTTCTCCCGCCTACCTCCAAGTCAATTTTCAAAAGTTATAATCCGACTTGCAAAAAATTTGGATGTTAAAAACATAAAAGTACTGAATTCCCTACATAGGGTTCTCACTTTCGATAAAGGAATACTTTTGAATCAAATGATTTAAAATTTTACTTTCTATTGACATATATTAACATATAAACACATTTTAAATAAACAATCACTGTACAGATATAGACATTAAGAAGTATTTAAATTGTCTAGTCCTTTCTCTACAGTTTAATTACTTCTACACGGTTAATACCTTTGTGTTGCGTTTCCTTTTGCAAAATTACATCCTTACTAAATTGTAATAACATTAAAGTGCTGCATGTGATGTCATTTTCGTGCATTATTTTCATTATTTTTATGCCCTGCCAGGGCGGGGGCATATAGTGTTTGATGCATTTGATTTCCGTCCTTCCGTTTGCCCTTCCGTTATATTTTGCGTTTAGCTCAGTTTTAAAGAAACCATTCAAGATATTTTTATCAAACATCATATGCTGATGTTAACATAAAATATATTGATGAGAACTATTCAACTGCATCAACATTTTTTTTACCTTGACCGTTCCTTTGACCTTAAGGATGACGTTTACTCAGATGACAAAACAACCTACTGTACATTGTACAGCTATGATTCTTGTGTTATTATTCACTTTTAAATAACTGGGTCAATGACCTACAGGTGTACTTTCCATCCTAGTAGCCCCTGAGTATTTCTCGAAAAATACCGCAATTTTTTTTACTCTATGATCCATATTTTCTTTACTCACAAAATATTACAGGTAATAAAACTCTTTTGATAACGAAAATAAAAGGAATGGAAAAGTTTATTTACATATAAATAAACAATTCGAGTTTGAGCCATAAACTAGTTAATTATTTCAGTCAGAATTTCCTCTGTCAATTTTCTAATTTTTACCTGATTTTAACATACTATTACAAAAATCTGAATGATAAGAACTCTGAATTATTTATGGCCTCAATTAACTTTTATTGCCCTTATTAGTCCCCTACCGGTGAAACCGGAGGGGACTATAGGTTTCCTCTGAGTCTGTCCGTCCGTCTGTCTGTCCCTCTATCTGTCTGTCCCACTTGGTTTTCCGCACTTTTTTCCTAAATGCTTGCAGATATTGAGCTGATTTTTGGTATGTGAGTGTATCTTGTTGAGTTACAGATCAAGTTTGCATTTCGTTCCGCTTCATTGATTTTTGACGGAATTACGGCCTTTTCAATTTTTACGGGTTTTCCGCAATTTTCTTCTAAACGCTTGTAGATATTGAGCTGATTTTTGGTATGTGGCTTTACCTTTATTAGTTATAGATCAAGTTTGCATTTCGTCCCGCTTCATTAATTTTTGACAGAATTATGGCATTTTCAATTCTTAACGGGAACCAGATTAAACTTGCCGGTAGGGGACTAGTATTGCTAATGCAATACTCTCAGAATGCTTGTTCTGCTGGTATTAAAATTATATGAGGTCAATGATCAAATTTTTTATATATGTTGTCCGGAATGATTTTCGTTCATATTTTTGAAATTCTTAAATCCAAGTCTTTAAATTATTTGAAATGATACATGAGCTTTAACACACATAATATTTGAAGAATGATGTTTAAAAACACATATAATCTTTTCTTTGTGAATAATGTTGCAAGAAAAAAAAATGTGACAAAAAAAAAAAATCAAAATTTAGTCCTAATTCCCTCTGCATCGCCATATGTTCTTGCATGTTTTCATCAAATAATAAAAAAAATAAAATTTTTAAATTGATAGTGAGTTATAACATGGCTTTTTTGTCTTTTAGATCAATTTTTGATTTTACATCTTGCACTTTATAGCATTCCGTTTTTGTCATCTAAAACCTTGAGCAAACGTCATCCTTAACCACACTTTAAGAAAATGAGTTTAGGAAAGTTTCAAAGGAACATTTCTTATATTTTTTCAAACCTTATATGCTGATAGATATTGGAGAAAGCTATTCATATTCATCGACATTAGCTCATGCACTGATACAAAATATGGTGAAAATTTAACCAATGCGTCCATTTTTATTAATTTACTTTTCCAATGACCCCTGACTTTACCATTTATTGCGTATAAAACTCAGTTTTAAAAAAATATAATCAAGGAAATTTATACACTAATACAAATTTACACTGTTATATTTGTAATGGTCCCTGGGCGGGACATTCATTCCTATGGACATATTTTTAGTTCTCTTCTTAAGATAATGCTGCCTTTAAGACTAAGTATGGAATTCTTTTGATAAATGTAACTATATATTGTTTTATTTACTTATGATGTTGTTTTCCTGAACTGACTTGAACAGAATCACCCCCGTTACCAGAAAAAGCCGTTTTATACGAAAATTCTTCGAATGAAGGTTTGAAAACTCCAACATATGAGCCAGATGTTGCTATGTTAAAGGAAAATGGTTACTTGGGAAGCGAAAATAAGCTTGACAAACCCGTTATTTCATTGAGTATGGAAAATTACACAGACGAAATCACCAAAGACAAGACAGTTTCAATTGCCAAAAAAATATTGACGTCTTGGGGCACAGAGGGATATGTCGTGGATTCAAAGTTTACATCTCCACCCTCACTTCCGCTCTATTTCTATGTTGGGTATCAAGTGTTGCAGGAACATAAACTTCTAATGGAATGTGGCCATGTAAGTGTAGTAGAAATTGTTGGCATATTTTATATAAACATGTATGTGCTGGATAGTGTAAAAGTAGCTTAATGTAATACACATTAAATGATGTATATTGACTAACTTAAACGTTACTCTATTGTAGATATTATTGTTGGAAGCTCTCAAATTTAATCGAACCGATTACGTCAAGGTTCTCATGGATAATGGCGTATCCATCAAAAAAGAAGACATAGTAACACTCTACAATTCTGTAAGTTTTTTTATGCCCCCATTCGAATAAGGGAGGGCATATTGCTTTACTGCTGTCTGTCGGTCCACCAATAGTTTCCGTTCATTTTCTTCACAGAGGTTGCACATACTAAAATGAAGTTTTGTATACATATTTTACATAAAATATTTAGGTCTATTTTTGTTTTGGGTACGATGGAGTAATTATTGAGAGAGTTATGCCCCTTGGACTTTAAAAAAAATTCTAATTATTTGCAGTTTCCGTTCATTTTCGTTGCAGAGGTTGCACATACTGAAATGAAATTTATTATACAGATTTATCATAAGAATATCTAGGTCAGTTTTGTTTTGGATACGATCGAGCATTTTTTGACAGTTATGCCCCTTGGACTTAGAAACATTCTAATTATTGGGGGGGGGGGGGGGAGGGGGGCATAAGTTTTTCACAATCATCTCGTTTTTCTAATTTCTATGAACGATAATAATTCAAGTTCAATATCAAGAATGTTATTAATATCTATGGTGTAAGCAGTTTTGTCGGTGGAAGGATTGTGTTTCATTGTCCGCTTGCTTTAGGTAACTTTCAAATTTTCCTAATTTGGATGCCATCATTAAGCTGGTGGAAAGCTGTAAAATTAGACCTGTACACAACCCTTGTGGCCATTGATCAGTGAGAAATCTTTGCGCCAGCACAAATTGCGACGCTTAACCTCGGGTTATACGGTTTTATTCCCACGTTCTTCAAATAAAACAGTGCCAATAATAATTTTGAAAACTTATAATGGAAGGTCACTACATTTCTTGCCAAAATTTTTAAAAACGATACAACTTTTATTTTATACTAAATTTTCTTTTTCTCCATAACAGTCACACTACATCGGCATTATTGCCTGCACTCTCAAGCGCCAGCAACTACGTCAGTCCTTTTCTACAGGAATACGCATGCTTTACAGACTGAATTGTCTATGGACATTTCCGTTATTTCCCGATCATGACAATGAGCACAGGGCGGGTGTGACCGGTCCGCAGGGGATGCTCACTCCTCCATGGCACTTGATCCCATCTCTGATCTTTTAGAGGCCCATGTTTGTTCTCACAGGATGAAACTGCCCCTTTAAGTCAACGGAATGGTCACTGAAAGGTCTGGAAAGGTGACTGAATGACAGAGCTCTGCCATTCAGTCACCTTTCAGTTAACTGAATGGAAGAGATTCATCCTGTGTCTTCTCCTGTTTTGTATTGTTTAAATGGACTCTTGAGCTTTAATACTATTCGTCATCTCCATGTATTTCATCGATCACTGTTCCCTATCTTCACCGTTTTTTATTACTTATGAGATGTTATTTTTTTTTAAAGACTATACGTTGTACGAGTTCAAACCACGGGTCAGAAGTGGAAGATTGTAATTGTTTAGGAATGATGTGGTTAATGAAGGTAGGTCGGAAACAATAGGAATGATGTGGTTAATGAAGGTAGGTCGGAAACAAGATATAAAAGATTGATTAATTATGTGTTCCAGAAAAGGGCTACTACAGAAGAATGAAAAGACATTTTAGTCCTACTGGTGAGAGACCAGAAGAGTTTATGCGATAGTAATGTGTCTGTCGTGCGCCTGCCTGTCTGTTCAAATGTGTAACCATAAACATTTTGTTAAAATGCCACTCCTCCTACAGTTTTGGTCCAATTTGAATATTACTTGATACACCATTAGACTACACCAAAATACATAAGTTTGTTAATCGACTGTCGATTTCGATGATCGGTGTTGCCATGGTTACTAAAAAGAAATTTCCGTAAAATTCATTAGAAACGCTACCCCTCCTACAATTTTGGGATAATTTTAATATAATTTGGTACACAATTGGACTAAAACTAAGATATATTATTCTATTTATCGTTTTTTTTATTCGATGAATGGATTGCTATGGTTAGTAAAAAACAGAAATTTTCGTATTTTTTCCAGAAGGCTACTCCTACATTTTTTGTCCAGTTTGATTATAACTTAATACATGATTAAAACAGTTACATAATTTTGTTTATTGCTTTTTATTTGGATGAACGGGGTTGTCATGGTTACTAAAAAAAGAAATTTCTTTGAAATTCTTTCAAAACGCTACCCCTCCTACAGATTTTGTCACGTTTCAATAGAACTTGACACACAATTATACTTCATTACGGCGAATAAATCTATCCCTTTTTGGATGCACGGGGTTCCAATGGATACCAAAATTATAACATCAGTTCTTTGTAAGGACCAAAGTATTACTGTTGGGCTGTGGCACCCACCATGAGCGATTTTCATGAAAATTTTTCTGGTGATTAATTCCCATACATTATGACATAATCAATAATTAAAATTTAAGGTTACTACCTTGGTTGCCATTTATATAGAATTATAGAACAATTTATAGAATTATTTTATAGGGCTGTGCGATTTTATCGATATACCGGTATATTCGTGATTTTTTATTGCGCGATACGTATCGTGATGCGGAGACTAAAATACTGGTATTTAGTTTATTTAGTTATAAATTACGGAAATGAGTAATTCTTTTGTTTAAACCCTTCAGGGACTGCAAAAAATGTTGTCAAACAAAGGCATCCTAGTTTCCATACATGCTTTATTAATACATAAATAAAATTGAAAAAGGGTGAATTTATATTTTCACACTATATTTGATAGAAAAATCATGGAAATCTACATGTATTTAAAATCAAAGTAAAAATTATGTGTAAAAATTTCTTCAAAATTCTATTCCTCCTACAGTTTTGGTCCGATTTCATTAAAACATGGTACACATGTAGAGACTTTGCTAAGATACATAATCTTTTTATTAGTTTTTAATTTTAAGAAACGGTGTTGCCATGGTAACTAAAAATATACTTCTGTGAATTTCACAATAATCTTGGCACAAAAAGAGACTTCACTATATATAAGCAACACAGCTAGGTTAAGGACGCCCATAAAATATACGCTTTAAAATATTCAGAGAAAATGAATACAATCTTAATATTTTTTTAACAGCATTAGTTTTTATTAATGTGAATTGTGGTGGTTGCACTTGTATAAAATCGGGTCACTGCTGATTACGGCCAAAGCGACATCGCTTACATCAGCTGTTTTTTCACTTGACAGGTTTAAAACTAGAACATATATGTACTTCTACAAAGATCTTTAAAGTTCAACGATATACGTATCTTTCCGCTATAAAATTTATTCCCTTTTCTTAGAAACAAATTTCTTAACCTAAAAAGTACTGGGAGCAACTTCCCCATGTGAAAAATTTAGCCGTCTTTCCATGAACTCCAGACATAAGATGTAATACGCATTGGAATAATGTTACATTACGGAATAAATAAACAATGCACAACCGGCCCCCAGCACTTTTAAAACTAGTAAGAATAATAGCTACACATGTTTAAAAATTCAAAATTTATAGTGAAGCGGATATCGATGAACTTGATATTTTTGAGGGGCTTGACTATCATTCTAGCACGTTACTGTACAAATACTCCCCACGGCTATATATAAGGTCTACATATGATCAATGTAGTTTGACAATAAAATGTTGATTAATATATTTCAGTACGTGTCTCTTTATTGCTTGTCGTATTTATTTTTATTTTTACAAACTTAGTTTGTAATTATTAGCGTAAAAGCTTGATCCACGCCTCAAGTACTGAGAAACTGCCTATCAAACTAAGAAATGACGTCATCTCAGTAAGTACAACGAGATAAGCTGGCTTTCATTTTACATACGCTAAGTGCTATTATGGCAAGATTAGTTGCACATCCGTTTACTTTTACAATATATATGAGAAACGAAAGTATTTGCGTGTGTTTTAAAAAGAACATATAGTATTTATTCATCGAAATTCATTTGTATTGATTTAACGTGACGTCATTATAGCTTTCCCGAACCTCTGCATATCCTGACATTAATATGAGAGTCCTTTACCTAGCTGCGAAGGTTCATTATCTTATTTAACGCCGGCGTCATAATTTCAAGACCAAGTGCTACTTTTCTGTACCCTTGTTAAGTAAAAACCAGTAAAGCTACAGTCTCTTCAGAGACTTCCGGTTTGTCTTCTGTGTTTTTTTTCACATAATGGAAAAATAATTATAATAAAAATAAAGAAAATCAATTGGATTTTATCAGTACGCATTGAAATTAAGATTTTATACGTAAAGCTAAAGTAAGGTATAAATATGTAATCTCCCGAGCTTCCGGTATTCCCAGCTTATTTAAAGTACGAGATCTCGCGAGATCTTCCTTCTTCAGAGAGGCTGAGAAAGTAGTAGCTATTCCTAGAATTTATTATTTTTAACTCAAATTTTATTAATAATACCATATTTCATTTATTCATAATTATTTTTTTTTTCAAAAAAAAAAAAAAAAAAAAAAAAAAAAAAAACCAAACAAACAAAAAACAGAAAAAAACCCCACATGAACCATTATTAATTTACTTACTTTTTGTTAAAATAAGAAGTAGAAAATATATTTACAGATTTAATTCAAATACATGAAAAACTCAATAGTAGTCATCATCTATGACAAAAACAACAAAAATATGCAAGATGTACAAGTTAACGTTTTTATTAAAGTTTAATTAAAAAAAAAAAAACATTTCTCAGCTAATAATAGTCATTGCTTTTTCCCAGAAATCGCTGCTGAAGTCAATGTCACTCAAAAATGGTCTGTTTCTCTATATCTTTTATTTCACTTCCTGAAATGAAAAGAGGAAGGAAAATTTAAATCACTGATATTAACTTTTAAGGCTAACAACAATTATCAGTGTTCAATGGGTGGGTGGGAGTACCTTACTTCAGCTTTACTCATAAAATCTTAATTTCATTGTGTGCGCTAAAGCGCACTGATAAAATTTCCAATTTTATGTCGTACAGCTGAAATAAGGTATAAATATGTAAATTCAAAGCAAGAATTTTCTGTCTTTCTGTTCTCTCTCTCTCTCTCTCTTTTCTTTTTTTATTTATCATCAAGTGTTAATATTTTATCTGCAAATTCATCTTGAGCCTCAACAGGTTTATTGGAGTCTATTGAAAGTGCTAGCAGATTTCCATTTAGCCCTAGACATGACTTGTGCCAAAGAAAGACCAAATTTAAATGCTTTAGAGGTACAATTACCTCTGGTTGAATGAGCCTTAAACACATTGGTGTCTTTCCTGCCTTTCCAATCATTGTATTTAACCACCCTGCTAAAGTGCATGGTTTTACCCCTTTATGAGGGTTAGTACAGCTAATGAAAAAAAGTTGTTCCCCTCCTCTTAACTGTTCTGTTTTCTTCAAGTATTCTTTGATACAATTGTGCACATTAAGTTTGTCCTTATCTAATTTTGGGAAATTCACTTTTTTCTGATTTTCTGTTTACCTTTCGTGTTTTGGTTAACTGTGTAATTGTGAATATAATTTTATTACTTTGAATTTCCATAAATCGAATATCAAGTTTCTGAAGTTCAGAAACTCTACTTGCAGAGGTTAATGCCATTAGGGTCAAAGTTTTTAATGTTCTTTCTTTCAGAGTTAAATTTTGATTTTCCCCCATTGACTCAAGATGTTTAAGAACCTTATCAACGTCCCTGGTTTCATTATATCTAGGAAGAGGCGCCTTTCATGACCTGTTTTATTAAAGGTTGAGTCCAGTGTTCCAAACAGCTGCTGTAAGCTGACTGGGTACCCTGACTCCAGGCTGCCGTGAGTAACTCTGAAGTTTGTTTTGAAACTCCAAGCATTTCTTGGGATTTCCGGAAATTTTCTAAGCCACCAACTTTAGAGCACCGTTTAGGATCATTGGATGACCCCCCCACCCCCTTGGTGACATAAACAGATTTCTCTGTGGTGGCAGTAGAATTGGTTTCGCAATTGTCATTTGTAATAGGAGTGGATGAAATGATTGGGTCTGCCATACAGGTGTTATCATAACTAGCCCCCCCCCCCTCCCTCTGGAGTTTGGAGAGACACTTAGGGATCATGCAGAATGGAGGGAAAGCATATGCTTTCTTCTTCTTTTCCCAAGTTGTCGGAAATTCATCCGCCAAGAGAGCTAAGGGGTCGTTTTTCCAACTAATATATTGGGGAACCTGAGCATTCCAATGATCTGCAAACAGATCTATCTTATTAGGTCCAAGTATTTTGTTTATTTGCCTAAATATTGATGGAATCAGCCTCCAGCTGTTTATGCTTACCTCCTGAATGTTCCTGCTCTCCCAGTCGGCTATGCTGTTCTGGCAACCTGGGAGATACTCTGTTGTAAGAATGATCTTTTTCAACATGCAGTATATATCCATATTTCTTTCGCAATTGTATTGAGAATATGAGATTTTGTGCCCCCCCCCCCCCTTTTGTTCACATAAATGACCGCTGTCACATTGTCCATCTTTAGATGCACATGAATATTTTCCATGGTGTTGGTCAAGGATTTGATTGCTATTACTGCCGCTTTCATTTCTAATACATTTATGTGCAAGCTCTGTTCCTCCAAGGTCCCCCATTCTTATCTTGAGAGATGGGCAGTGGAACCCCCCACCTACCTTTCTATGCATTTGTCTCTATCGTCAACTGGGGGCTCACAGTTAAGATTTGTTTCCCATCCCAATCTCTTATTTTTTTGACCAACTATTGAATTTCTGTTTTGCATTGACTGGGCAACTCTACAATTTTCGGATAGTTCTGGGATCTTATTAAACACTTTGTTTGATGCATTTGGAGTTCCCTCATGTACAAAGCTGCAGGTATTACTGCCTCTACCGTTGCGTTTAAGGACCCAATCAAACTTGCCAGTTCTTGAATTGTTATCTGTCTTGTCTTTTCTTGATTAGGTTGTTTACTTTTGTCTGAGGCAGGGAAACTGTCGCGTTGTTTGAATCCAATTGGAATCCCAGAAACTCTAGTACTTGGACAGGATTTGTTACAGAGTTTTTCCAATTTATCACCCACCCCAGATGATGTAACATCCAAATCAAAGAGTCTCTGTCCTTTATTATGCCCTCTTCTGTCCGATTCATTATCAACATGTCGTCTAGGTAAACCACAATTCGAATCCCAATTCTTCGTAAAATTGCCATTAATGGCTTCAGAATTTTTGTGAATAAACGAGGGCCTGAAGCCAGACCAAAGGGAAGGCTTTTGTATTGTAGCAACTTTCCCTTCCAATTGAATTTTAGGTATTTCCTGTGACTCGGGTCTGTTGGGACACAGAAATAAGTATCCCTGAGATCTATTTTGCACATGTCTCCTTGCCTCAGAGTTGTTTTCACAACTTGAAACCCTTCCATTTTGAAGTGTTCGTACCGTATGGACTCGTTTAGCTTTTTCAAATTGAAAATTGGCCTTAAGCCTCCATCTTTTGGGGGGCAAATGAATAAAGTACTCAGAAATTGACCATTTTCTGGTTCTGCAATATCCACTGCGTGTTTTGTCATCATGTCTTTAATTTCCTGATCTAATGCCAGTTTCTCCTCTTTCGAAAAATTCATTTGATTTTGAATGGGCAATTTCTGAACAGGTTGATTTACGAAGTCCAGTTTTATTCCACGAACTGTGGACAGTATTTGTTTGTCTGATGTAATTTTTTTCCCGAATTTGTCAGAAAATGAGCAATTCTGCCCCCTAACGGTAGCCGAGTCTGATCTATTTCCACAAGACCCAGATGACAAATCAGTGAGTGGAGATGGCAGTGATCTGATTTTACTTTTGTGATTTAATAAACAATAAGATCTTGGGTTGAGCAAGTTGTAAGATCTATGTTTACTTGGCAATACATACCTGGCTTTGAATCGCATTTTGCGGTTAGTTGTTTAGATGTCTGACTTATCACCCTTAGTTTGTTCTGGTTTATTCGTCCTCAATGTAGTCAACCCCCAAGCCTTTGACGAATTACTCTTGCTGCCCGAGGGTCCCTCTGGAAAGGGCTGAACTCTTTTGGGCGGTCTCATCTCCTAAGCCATTTCTCATGCTCTTTTTCTGTTTTTGGCTTTGCAATCTAAAACGATGTAAAATTCTGATCCAAAAAGTTTTAGTTCCTTATCAAAATTATCATTAGGATATTTAATGACAGATGTTGCATTCACAACACTTTTAAACAAACTTAGCCAACCAGGTTAAACGTCTTTCATAAAGACAGGCTGTATTAACCTGTCCTATCATCAAGATAATTTTTTTCAACGAGTTCTGTAACTTCTTGAATTGACTTGCCTGATTTGTCCCCATCTTGGGCTCTATCTTGCTCTTTCCAAATCTCAGCAAGAGGGCCCAAGCATCTGGATACTTTCTTCTGGACATGTTACAGAGCCTGGTCTTGGAGTTTGAAAACTTTAAATGCCCTTTTGTCATTGACAAGGTCTTCAGTGTATGCATCTACCTCCGGCGGATTAAGAAATCCATTAGCCGGTACAGGATGTTTGTCAAGCACACTAGTGTTAATACGCTCATCACTAAGGTGAGTGGTGAGAAACTTTTTCACATATTTTTCTTAGCTGGTATCTAGCCTGTACTTGGAGTCAAAATCTCCTGGATCAAACCGTTTAGGTTCACAGGCGTCATCATCATCAGTGCGTGGACCAACGCCCGCAAATTGTGAAAAAAGACGAAATTTCTCCGTCAGAATCGGCAGACTGCATAGAATAGCTATCTGAATCTGTCTCAGCATAAGGTTCAGTGTTTTCCCCTTCATCTTCATCCATCCTCTTTCTAGGGATGACAAAATTGTCCCATCTTTACTTGGGCTGTAATGGCGGCGTAATAATATCGTTGCCTCTTGACGATTTTTTTTCTCTGACATAATTTCAGGACTGTTATCGTCCAGAGAGGCCTTTGAGCTGCTCTCCATCCCTCAGGTCACGTAAAATAAACCTGATGGTGAAATGATAGCTGTACGCACAACGTACAGCAAAGATGAAACTCGATAAAAAGTAATCCAAAAAAGACGCAGCAACAACTTTAGAAGCCGAGCGGAAGAAGGAAGATCTCGCGAGATCTCGTACTTTAAATAGGATGGGAATACCGGAAGCTCGGGAGATTATATATTTATACCTTACTTCAGCTTTACGAAATAAAATGTCTTTTGCTTGAGGTGTGAAATACTTTGAATTTTTTTTTTTAACTTTTTCAGTCCATAAACAAACAAGAGGCCAAGAACTGTTTTAATGTAGAGACGGCTGTAAATGCTCCACAAACCATTTGCAGAGAATTGCTCGACTACCAGAGTACGTACCGGTCTTTATATGCTCCAATGCATAGCTTAAGCATGCTTTCCTTTAGTAGCTGTAAATTAGTCAATCATATGTAGCGCTAATCAGCTTAGAGGCAATGCAAAGTACGATTATACACCGGTCTAGTATACCATAATAAGAACTTGCACGAAATTCCCGTTCCGTCTAGATCTCTCTCATTAGAAACCAGACCCCAAGACCATAAACTGAGAACAGACTTAAGTCAAAATTTCAAACCAATATAACTTTTGAAATAATTTTGATAATGAAAGATGATTTTAATCATGAATTTAAATGTTAAATAAAATTGCAAAATTTTAAGCAAATACATTAAATAAGACTCAAGATATTGAACATCAAATTTTTGACTTAAGTCTATTCTCAGTTTATGGTCTTGGGGCCTGATCTGTTTCTCAACATGAAGCTAACCATGGCTTTGCTGTTTTAGCAGGAATTTTAAAGATTTATTTCCCTTTATATCTATGTAAAACTTTCATTGCCTAATGTGGTCCCAAACTAGTCCTGGGGGTCATGATTTGAACAAACTTAAATCTTTGCTATCTAAGGATGCTTCCATATAAATATGACTTGTCATGGCTTTACTGTTCTTGAGAAGATCTTAAAAGACTTTTCCTATATATTCTTTTGTTAAACTTTAATCGCTTATTGTTGCCCCACCCTAGTCCGAGGGGTTATAATATGAACAAACTTGAATCTTCACTATGTAATGAAGCTTTCACTTAAGTTTCATTTTATCCCCTGGCCCTGTGGTAATAAAGAAAATTTTTAGATGAAGCCATTTATATTTTTGACAAAATCTTGATCATTTCCCCGTGAGAGAGGATGGCGCCCTTAATTTGGACAAATTTAGATCCAAATAACCAAAGGATTCTTTTTGGCAAGTTTGGTTGAAACTGGCCCAGTGGTTTTTGGAAGTCGAAAATGTGAAAAGTGTACAGACGACACACAAAAGACGAACACCGGACTCCCGTTGATCAGATAAGCTCACTTGAGTCTTCGGCTCAGGTGAGCTAAAAATTAAGTATACCATCATGGCACACGTCAAATATTTTGGTTTATTTCACATTAAAGAGATGATCGTGCGTAGAAGAAAATCATGTCAACGTTGGTACATTCCTAATATTAGATGTATACCTATGGTGTAGTTACTAATTAAAACAAATGATACATCCTTTATTTCTCAACTGGTTGTGTAGCAATTTCACAAATGCCAATGTGCAGCTTTGTTCATTGCACAATGTATTATAATGAATGTTGAACAATATTGTATCCTTAAAAAAAATCTAAACACAAATCATTATGCTTATTCTTAGACTTTACAACTGTGATCTTAGTGAGCATGGCTCTCTGTGAGTTCTTAGTTGACCTTTTTAAGTTAAAATGAAGAAATATATATAGTACAATACCAAATTAATTTTAATAACTTTATACCAAATCAAGTTTAAAATTAAAGGCTGGCCAACAAAACTATTTCAATTTTAGAGTAACTATCAATTGCAATTAAGAGGCCAGCTTCTTCTGTCCAGTATGCCCGAGAGATAAAGATAACATCTGATGATCAGAAATGCTCTAAATGATTAAGACTGACTTCTTCCATTAAGTAATACCTAAAATGACAGTTCTACTTCGTCTCTAATCTCAGTAATGCAGCTTGAAAAACCATTGCTTGAAAAGTTCACCCATTGGACAAGTTGAACTTCTCTTTGTTATTTAAAAAATGAAATAGGAAGGAGGAAAGTGAGAACTGTTAAATAGCAATCTTGATAACGTTTTATAGCTTTTTAAAGGGAAAATATTGCAGGATTTTGAAAAATAAATTTATATTTCAAAAATTTAATTGAAAAGTGACCTGATGGGTTCGATTTAACTTTGTTTACCCTTGTTTAAAAATTAATGTATTCATAATTTTACAGAAAAGAAAACGAAGGGAGTAACTCCTGATACAGAGAGTAAAGAAGTCCGACAAGAAGATAATAGAGCCCGTTTTGAAGATATACTTCTATGGGCATTGTACGCCAATAGGCCGGAGATTGCAGAAACAGTGTGGCTAAGAGGAGAAAACCAGCTTAGTATGTTATTTGATTACAGTCAATTTCCTGTCTTTAATTATCAAAATCCGAGTTTTAAATACTTTCAAAAAGATAGCTGATTTTAACTTGGAGACAATGAGTCATATAGACTTTTGACTTTAAAATCCACACAACATGATATAGCAAATCTATTCAGAGACAAAACATCGATGTCCAAACACAATATTATGAGAAAACTGCATGTCCCTTGATTGTCCGGCTGTGCTTCGGTAGATTTTCAACATTTTTAAACCTTCCCTAAAAAAAATACTACAGTTAGTTTTCTGTAGTTAACTATAGTTTACTTTAGCAGCAAACCTTTTTATGCCCCCGTATCAAAGATTCGGAGGTATACAGTTTTTGCCCTGTCCGTTCGTCTGCCTGTTTGTCCGCAAAAACTTTAACCTTGCCCATAACTTTTGATTGGTTGGAGCTATGGCTTCCATATTTCACATGAATATTCCTTATGACAAGACCTTTTATTTGGTAACCACCATATTTGACCTTGACCTTGGAGTTTGACCAAGTTTTGCAAAATTTTACCAAACTTTAACCTTGGCCATAACTTTTGAATAGTTGGTGCTAGGGCTTTCATCCTTCACATGTGTAATCCTTTTGACAATACCTTCCTTTGGATACCAAGAGTTGACCTAGGAGTTTGACCTTCTTTTAAAAAACTTTAACCTTGGCCATAATTTTTGAACAATTGGAGCTAGGGCTTTCATACTTCACATGTGTAATCATTGTGACAAGACCTTTCTTTGGATACCAACAACTTTGACCCTTTGACCTTGAAGTTTTACCTCCTCTTGCAAAACTTTAACCTTGGCCATAACTTTTGAACGGTTGGTGCTAGGGCTTTCATACTTCACATATGCAATCCTCATGACAAGACCTTTCTTTGGATACCAACAACTATGACCATTTGACCTTGGAGTTTGACCTCCTCTTGGAAAACTTTAACCTTCGCCATAACTTTTGAACAGTTGGTGCTAGGGCTTCATACTTCACATGTGTAATCGTTGTGACAAGACCTTCCTTTAGATACCAACAACTTGACCCTTTGACCTTGGAGTTTGACCTACCTTTGGAAAACTTTTACCTTGGTCATAACTTTTGAACGATTGGTGCTTCGGCTTTCATATTTCACCTGTGTATTTCTTTGGAGAAGACCTTTATTTGGGCACCATTAATTTTGACCATTTGACCTAGACCTTGATGTTTGACATACTTTTGAAAAAATCTTTAACCTTTTCCATATCTATTCAATTGTTGCTGCTAGGGCTTTAACCTTTTCTATAAGTTGCCACACGGGGGCATCAGTGTTTCACAAACATATCTTGTTACTATAGTAAATCAAAGTATTTTTATTATGGAATTCAGATTGCTATATTTTTTGTTCTTCAATTCATATATGCACATTTTTTTTTTATATTAAATGAAATAATTATTTGTATATTAACACATTATTTCAAACTTTTATATCACTGCTGCCGAATTTAAGAGATTTTAAGCTTTGAAATCTCGAAAAATTTCCAGAGTAAAGTTTCAGAGTGAATCAAAGTTTCAAAGTTTTAAGCATAGTTAACTATAGTATACTATAGTTAACTATAGTTTTCTATAATTAATTATAGTGACTTTTTGTTACGGTTGTTTTAAAAATAACTTTGCTGTTGGTATAAAACATTTATTTGCCAAACTTGGGTGCTCCCCCCCCCCCTCCTTTAAGAAAAAACATTCATTTTTTTTTTCTTTTTCTATATTGTTCTTGCAAAATCAACACACGTTTATTCTCATTTTAATTATTAAAAAGATGTGTTTGTGAAATACTGATGCCCCCGTATAGCAGCTTGTGGCGAAGGTTAAAGTTTCTCAAATACAAGTCAAACTCCTGGTCAAGAGATCAAAAATGTTGGTACCCAAAGAAAGGTCTTGACTTGGGAAATATACCTGTGAAATATGAAAGCCCTAGTTCCAACCGTTGAAAAATTATGGCAAATGTTTTAAGTTTTTTTAAAGCAAGTAAAACGGCAAGGTCAAGGTCAAATGGTGGCCAAGGGAAGGTCTTGTCACAAGTGATACACATGATCGTGAAATGTGAAAGCCCTAGAACTAAATGTTCAAATGTTATGACCAAGGTAAAATTTTATTTATGTCAAACTCCAAGGGCAAAATTGTTCGTATCCAAAGGAAAGTCTTGTCACAAGGAATATACACGTGAGGTATAAAAGCCTAAACACAAACTGTTTAAAAGTTATAGCCAAGGTTGTAGTTTTTTCAAAAGTAGGTCAAACTCCAAGGTTAAAGGGTCAAAGTAGTCGGTATCTAAAGGAAGGTCTTGTCACAACGAATGCATATGCGAGGTATAAAAGCCCTAACACCAACTGTTCAAAAGTTATGGTCAATGTTATTTTTCAAAAGTAGGTCAAACTCCAAGGTAAAGGGTAAGGGTTGTTGGTATCTAAAGGAAGGTCTTGTCACAAGAAATGCATATCTGAAGTATGAAAGTCCTAGCACAAACATTTTGAAAGTTATGGCCAAGGTTAAAGTTTTTGAAATGTAGGTCAAACTCCAGGCCCAAGGTCAGAGGGTCAAAGATGTTGGTATCCAAGGATGGTCATATCACAAGGAATACACATGTGAAGTATGAAAACCTTAGCACTAACTGTTCAAAAGTTGTACCCAAGGTTACTGTTTTTTTCAAAATTAAAGAAGGTCAAACTCCAGTGTCAAGGTAAACAGGTCAAAGTCATTGGTATCCAAAAGAAGGCTTGTCATAAGATATTTACATGTGAAATATGAAAGCCGTAGCACAAACTATTCAAAAGTTTTTTCAACAGTAGGTGAAAATCCAAGGTCAAAGGGTCAAAGATGTTGGTATCCAAAGGAAGGTCTTGTCACAAGGAATACACATGTTAAATTTGAAACTGTTTAAAAGTTATGGCCAAGTTTTAAGTCTCATAAAATTTTGCGAAAGTGGGTCAAACTCCAAGGTCAAGGTCAAATATGATGGTACCCAAATAAAGGTCTTGTCAGAATAAAATACACAAGTGAAGTATGAAAGCCATAGCTCCAACCAATCAAAAGTTAATGGCAAGGTTAAAGTTTTTGCGGACGGACAAAAACTGTATGCCCCCGAATCTTCGATTACGGGGGGTATAAAAATCCGGTGTTATAACTTAACAATCCGCAGAGTTGTTGTCGCAAGAAAAGAGAGTCCGTCTTGCATAAACTTCCGACCATAGTCAATGGCTTTAACCCTTTCTGTTTGAATTTACTGACAAGCTCAATATATATATTAACCTTAAAAATTATAGCATTATTGAGAAAGTTAAGACTGATAATTATATTTACTTTACAATCTTGTTAACCTTTTAGTGGTATATTTATAGGAGATGAAGTATCATTATGTCTTGTCGATTAATGTATCTTTGAGTTGTATCCTCCAAGTAATAGGTTCTCTGACCAGATACTTAAATTGTTCACCATATCATGAGGTCTCTGGGGGTATTTCATCAACACTGGAGTAGTTGGTGTGGGAGAGCAATTCCAACCTATTCTACAAACAAATATTATCGAAACATTACCATGGAACGATTTGACTATCCTGCAAAAACGAGAGTGGAACCAGCCTTTCAATGAACACTGTCATAAGGAAAAAGTTGTGTTTGGAAAAAAGCCGAGGGGGGGGGGGGGGGTTACATGCTTGAGACTTCAAATCATAAATAATTGAAGCATGCCGGAGTGTGTCTACCAAACAGTCTACAATTTATGTGATACACTGTTGCCAAAACATCATCGAATTTTGTTAGTTGGTCAAGTTAGGTATCCGTGAATTGTAGATTCTTCAGAAAATTAGGTCATAGTGATTAATAGATTCCTTTCCACATAATTGCACCAAAATGAGCCCAAGGATCTTCATGCGTCATTTGTTAATGATTCTACAAAAATAACTCCAAATACTGCATATCAATAGGTCACATGATTAACTCTTTTTACTTGTATCTAAATGTTTTAGTTGACATGCCTTAATAGTAAGATATTATCCAGGATAAAATTGGTCCCCCTGTATAAGTTGATTAAACTGGTTAAAAAATTTATTGCAGTGACTGGTCTGGTGTGCTATGAAACATTACGGAAGTTATCAGAGAGTGCGGCTGACGTAAAGGAACAAAATTTTTCAAAGGCCTTGTTGGATCATGCGCAGTACGTTGCTATTACTTATCGTTTGTCTGTGTGTTTCTATGTTGTTTAACGTCCCTCTCGAGAATTTTTCACTCATATGGAGACGCCACCACTTGCCGGTGGAGAGCTGCAAATTTTGTCCTATACTCGGCACCTACGGTCATTGAGAAGTGAGGGATCTTTTTCGTGTCAGCACCTACTGCGACACGGGACCTCGGTTTATACGGTCTCATCCGAAGGACCGATCTCCAAGTCCCCCAGTGGGATTCGAACCCGCGACGTAAGGATCAACTCCTTCCTTCGCGACTCTAGAGCAGACGCTCTTATCACTGCGCCACGCGGGCGACCTATTACTTATTGTAAAAAATTAAGTGCATTGTCTGATTTCGACAATAGTAGAAAAAAGGGTTGTCTAAAAAGAACTCGGACGTTTAAAATATTTTACAAACAAGGTGACTAGCATTATTCATTTTGCACATAATTGATATTTTCCGTTTTTTTTCCTTTTGGTCCAAAATAGGAGGTTGTAATGTTCTATGCTTGTGGAAATGGCATTTAAAGGGTGTTAAATATGGGTGATTGGAGCACTGCAATTTCCTTTTTATTTGTAAAAATAATATTGTCAGCGATTCTTTCTTTCGAATATACTGACCTATACTGTGAAAAAAATTACACCGAGAAATACTCTTTGATCTGAAGTACTTGTATGTTAAAATTCATTAATTTCTCACTATAAATGACAATAAAATAACGTTATATGCATAGTCGCATTAAGTTAGATATTGTGAAAAAATGCCGTCGGGCAATAGTGATGCCTACCAAATTATAATTCAGTATTGTGTTGAGCGGAATATAATTCTATACGAGAAAGAAATAAATGGAAATAAAAGAATGACACAAACACTTATATTTGACATAGCTTTATACCCGGCAAAAGAAGTTGAACAAATCAATGAACACAATTAGCATATTTTGCATAAAATGACTTCATATAACAAATGGTACTTTCCCCATAAATGATCATAAATCAAAATACCATGCACATTTCTGATGTATGTTCAATTGATTTTCAAATAAAAACTTCTCATCTTGAAAATTGTAAGAAAAGTTATCTTTACAAATGGTATCCACTTTATGGATTATTTAAAAAAAAAAATTGAAATAAATAAATAAAATTCTAAGTTCAACAACTCGTATTTTTTCCTATAAATAATCAAAAATCAAAATCCAAGAAAAAATGACCAACAAGTAAACTTTATAACTTGAAAACTGTAGAAAGAATTGTCCGGGCGAATGTGATACCTTGTATGCTATATTTTCAAAAATGACCTAAGCTGGTAGTTTTCTGATAAATAATCAGATTTTAAAATTTTTACGAGAAGCGCTGACTTTTACATAAACGGCTAACGATTACACTGGAGCAATATACGGAAGCTCTTTTGCGATATAAATAATTAGCTTAACAATTAATAAAACGATAATAATGGGACAATTCAGAGCACATATTCCATTTTGTTGAAAGAGAACGATAGCCGTCTAATCCTCCACCCTCTCCCTTCCGACTTTCACCAACTCCTGCCAAGTTTTTCTTTCGGAATGTTTTTTTTTCTTCCTTTTTTTATACCTTTAGAAAATGAGATTGAAAGGATGTACTACCCTTCACGATTGATTGTTGTCGTACGTCCCGTTTGAGAATTTTCACTCATATAGTCAGCCGTCGACTATATAATTCAGTGGTTCTCGCAAAAGTCCAAAATGCTTGTCATGTTTGTGTACAATTGACCTGCAAAATAAAAGTTCCCAAAAAATTGCCGGAAGAGTTATCCGGAAAATGATGTACACTTTTATCAGCCGCCTGCCATACCCCCATTTACCGGATCTTTCCATTTTTAATTAACAAGCAATAAAAATATATGCATGTATGTATAAGAATTTTCTCAATAAACGTTAGAGTTGAGCATATTCAGAGAAGAAACTTGAAAGTGGCGGTGTACGATGTACCGTTTTTTTGGCTTATATATTTGATAGCTATTTATAGTTTTCTATTTTAAACATTTGCACCAAGTTTATATTCTAATTACAAAATTAAAATATTTCTTTAAAAGAACTAGAACAGTTGTATAATTTAAAGTTTAGTATGTAGAGTATTTTCGTTTGTAGTATACAGTAAAACTCGGCTATAGCGAAGTCCTGGGGACCTATGAATTTACTTCGCTTTATCCGTAATTCGTATTATGCGTACAAAGAATTCGTTAAAGTATACATAGTGAATTCCCGATAGAGGTTTTTGTTCTTCAAGTATGACTACCAAAATGTATTTAGGGAGGAATGAAAAACAGAGGTTACTTGGAGTTCAACATTTATCGTATGAGGTAAATTTCAAATACAAATTCCTACAGAAATATTGTCAGTTAAACATTCTAAAAATTCAGATCTTTGAAAAATAGGTAAAAAAGATGTAAATATCGTTATTTTTAACCCTTAGGAGACACACATTTTCGGTATATCCGTATATTTACTGTTTCCGTGTTTGTTCTATCCGTTACATTTTACAAAGAATTGTTAAAAATTTTGCCGGGGATTCCAGAAACTTCACTATGTCCCTGAATTTGCCATATCCGTGTTCGTACTTTTGCTGGTGGATTTTTTTAAGCATAGATAAACAACCAGATATTCTGACTTAGAAAGCTTTGCATCATTATGTTTTCTGATATGAATTCAATATATAGGGCACTTATTTATATATTTTAAAATATGCCTCATATTTTTAATTTTACGTTGTGATTATAAATTAGTGCTCTTTCAATTTCATGTGATAAAATTCCTTCATAACATGGTGAGAAATATATATATATTTTTTTGAGAAAGTAAGCCTTTGTTGGTGATGAAAATCAAAGTTTTGAATTTTGAATTTCTTTTTTTCTGATGAAATTTAGAACAGAGGAACATTAAAACTTAGCCAAACTTTTGACTACTTTTATGCCCCCGCTATAAAAGAGCCGGGGCATATAGTGTTACCCTGTTCCGTCCATTAATGACTTTCCGTTCATTATCAGCAGTTGCAAACATTCAACTCAAATTTGACATTTGGATAAGTCACACGATTATGCAGGCCAATTTAGACTTTGGTCATTGTCCGATGAATTTTGACAGAGTAATCCCTCATGAACTTAGAAAAAATAAGAAATTTTCAGTTTCTGCTTACTTTTGTAGTGATGTATGTATAAGGTTGAAATTGCATATGCAGGTATTTAACCAGAAAATACAGGTCAAGTTCGAATTTGGTCGTTGTTCGATGATTTTTGACAGAGTTATCCCCCTTGAATATAGGAAAAAAATTACGAAATTTTCAGTTTCCGCTCCCTAGCAGTTATAGAGTCGCCCGCGTGGCGCAGTGGTTAGAGCGTCTGCTCTAGAGTCGCGGAGTAAGGAGTTGATCCTTACGTCGCGGGATCGAATACTTATGCGGGACGTGGAGACCGGTCCTTCGGAAGAGACCGTATACAGCCAGGTCCCATGTCGCTGTAGGTGCTGGCACAAAAACGATCCCTCACTGCTCAATGCCCTTAAGTGCCAAGTATATGTCAAAATTTGTAGCCTTTCATCGGCAAGTTTAGTAGTTTGTAGGGTTGAATGTATAAGTCTGGAATTACATATGCAGGTATTTTACAAGAAAATAATAGGTGGAATAATAGGTTTGAATTTAGTCGTTGTTCGATGATTTTTGACAGATTGATCCCTCTTGAACTTGGAAAAGACCTACTATGGCATTTCAGATTTTGGCTGCCTATCGGGGCATTTGTGGGGTTACGACACATCTAGTTTTCCCAAGACTTTCTCAATATATTTGCTCTATTTGTTACAATATTACAGTAGTCTGCGAAGAATTTTATCTAATACGAAATCCAGCTTCGACGAAAGCATCTCACTTCACAAAATAAATTTGAATTTAGTCTGCATGGAAATCTAGAATCCAAAATTATTAGTTTTCTACATGCCTTGAAAAAAGATAAATAAATAAATAAATGAAAACTTTCCAACATAAAATCTTATCTTTTGTTTGGAATTTGATGTGATTTTTTCGGTGAGTAAAGTTCGCAATTGTAGAATCGAGATATATTGTTAGTAAAAATACAATGTAAAACTTTCAGTTTTCAGAAAAGTTTCAGAAAAAAATATGCTCAAAAGCTCAGGATCGAACCTCCTTAATTTAGTACTTAAAAAAGCAGTACTTCAAGGACAGCTAGTATCCAGTAGGGAAGCAATGATTCTCAAAAGATCTGTACTTTGCAGACTGTTTTACAAGAGAACGTTGGACCTTCTCGATTCTATGTTTGAAACTGACTCCAGAAACACTTTAGATGTTCTTGATGACTTTGTGGACATCTGGGGAATCAAAAGCAACCCACTGACATTTGCTTATGAAAATTTCATGTACGAGTTTGTTGCAAAACCAGCTAGTCAGAAACACCTCAACAAAACCTGGTATAACAACCAAGCACCACATCTTATCCCTTGTATTAAGGTAATATATGTATTATGTATTATGTATTATATATGTATGAGAGGAAGAGAGAGCAGTTTTATAAACGAGGGTTCAAATACAGTACAGTTGAAAAAGGTGGGAATACAGTTCATCAAACACAGGGAAATCTTTGGCTTAGGAAGAAACTTTTTTTTTTCAAAATATATTATTTATCAGTCGGAATATTCTTTGTCCAAATAAATGAATTTAATTATTCAGATAACAAAAGATTACACCTTGTACACACCATATTTGTTTACAGTCAGTATCTCAGCATCCCTGCAACGTTCTTCGATCTCCCCTGTCAAAGTATGTCTTCAACTATGTAAGTATATTATGTCAGTGTATAATTTGTTAGCAGTAGAAATACCACAGGATGAGACTCTGCCATTCAGTCAACTGAATGTTCATTGAAAGGATTGGAAATATGACTGAATGGCAGCTTTCTGCCATTCCGACACCTTTTAGTAAACTTCCAGACAGTAACTCTTCAGTTAACCGAATGGCAGAGATTCATCTTGTGTAATCGATATTTAAGAAAAAGGGTTTACGAAAAAAAATGCACCATCTAGTTGAAATGGTCACATAAGAAAAAACATGTTAGATCATAAAGTTGAACACGACTCGTAAAAAGGCAGACGTCATATTATTTTTCCCATCTCCTATATCAGCTCTTTGCTATATCCTTCGCATTCGGTACACCTGACTGCTTTCTTGTCACACGTACCTGCGTGAAATGGACGACAGGTGTTCATATTAGTAATCTAACATTACCTTTGTTTACATTTTATTACAGTTAACGTGTATTTGTGTTTGTACTGCACTGTCCTGTGCTACTGATACAAGTTTCTTTGGTAACGTTCTCTTGTGGAAGAAGCACACAGTAACTGTTACTTTTGTCCTACCGAGAGTTTTATAATAGCTATGTAGAACACGTCCGTCAACACCGGTGAAAACTAATTTCACTGAACTGTGACCAAGTGAACGGCTTATATAGGGGCCAAACAGGTGATGAAAAATGCAGAGTAATATTGCGAACGACGGTCTCTGCCTTTTACGAATCGTGTTCACCTTGAATGAAACGATCAAGCAGGATTATATCTATAAAGGTGTAATGATTTGTTTTCTTTCCCAGGTTCTGTTTTTGTCTATGCTGGTCTGTTATAGTGCGTTTGTATCCACCAGTATTGCTACCAAATATTACGTCAGGGACATGGCAAGGGTGTTTGAATATTACGTGTACTTTTGGGGAGCTGGTGATCTCCTAGAAGAGCTGTTTAGCTGCTTTGTGAGTCTTGACTGTAATTTCAAGTTCCATAATTGAAGACCACGCTAAATCAAACATCATATTTTATTTTTGTTAAGTCGTACAAGGAAAACACTGGACTTCCTCGTAAAAATCTACTGCATACAATTGCAAAATAAAGGAACTCTAGTTTTCATTTTTTCACCCTTATACTTCTAACAGAACCTTCACTGAGCTATCTCAATTGATTTACTAGATAGAATACTAACCCCAAAAAGTCGTAGACAGGTTATACAATTTAGTTTATTTTTGCTAACATAACTATCTTTTCTTGTCACAGTAAAAGACACCGTTTACTGATAATGAATTTCAAGATTCGTAAGTATAACTATTTTAATAAAAAAAATAATGTAAAATAAAGGAAGCGTAATACTTGTAGATCTGATCGGCACACGGAAGCAAACGTAATTTACGTCTCTTTTAACATCATGGTCACTCTTTAAAAATGCTGGCCTCTGCATGCAGCACGCGTCATTGGTTTTTCAAATACAATGGCAAACCACTCTTTACTCAGGAGAGCAATAAAATCATCAAGTGATCAGATTCAAATTTAAGTCCTTGTAAGGTCGCCTTAAGAGGCAAAGAATATACAGAGTTTTACGACGACCGTGATCCCTAACGTTTCTAAAATTCTGAACTTAAAAATCCTATTTCCGATGCAGGGATAGAATTGACCTTAGTCTCTTTTAAATTTTATAAACAACTTTTACTAATATTGTAGTGTGTTATTTCCCTTCTATATCTTTTTTTCTCTTCTGCATGAGGCGGAAATACTATATAATTACATCCCTATGCATCGAAGACACGTTTGACGACATCATTAGTGGTAAACGGGATTAAGAGTACGCTTTTAAAAAATAGTCATCGCTTCCGTCAGCCACGAAAATTGTTAAAATTGAGCGGTTTTCTTATTTAATTGATATAAATTTGAATTTAATGTTTTACATTTTATCAGAAAAACAAACGCAAATACAATAGTAATATCCCGGATTTTGAACGTGCGCTGACAGACTATATCGAACTTCTTATAAATCGTCATAATATTATTACTTTGAAAGATTTTCATTTTAAACCCCTCTATTTTAATGGACATTAGTTGAATGATAACTATACAAAATTCGGTTAGTTTTGGTTGAATGTTTACAAAGTTCTAAATACTGTCCACGACTTTTTGGGAGAACCCTCCTATGTACAGATTAATGATACAAACCTTGCAATCATTGAAAGCTTGCAATTTACTCGTGTGTTTAATATTTTTTTCAGGGAATTTTTCATGACACTGACACTGAAGGGAAGTCATACCGCAGTAAATGGACTATAGTTAAACGATACCTGAATAACTTTTGGAATTTAGTTGACATTCTGTCTTACCTATTGTTGATCAGCGCGCTGTTTGTACGACATATGCACCCGTCCGAAAAGTTCACCGTATCACGCAGAATGTTTTCCTTGTCACTACTTATTATGTATCTCCGGTTTCTGGAGGCATTTCTGATGATCAGAACACTGGGACCTACGCTAATAATGATAAAGGAAATGGTAATTTTTCTTAAGATATAAAGAAGAGATAAATTATGTATATTAGAATTGCTTTGTAGGTTAAGGACGCCTTCATCATTATTCATATTGATGTCATGGTAAACCAACTCTCTGGCCTGTGTTACGATGGCATCCATGGCAACCGTCCTTTTCGTAAACACTGATTTAAATGTCGGACGTCCTCTTATCTGTTGACTCTTGAGCAAACCTCACTGAATGCAACTGTTTTACCTAAAAAATACCTCAGAGGGGATATCATCTCTGTGTGGCCAATACTTTAATTAGTTGGAAGCGACTTCATTTTATATGAAATTTTAACATCGTTGATGAAAATACATTCGAAGTGGGGTTTTTTTTCGAACTTGCCAGAAAGGTCCGAGAAGGTGCGATTGATTACAATGATAGAGGCAGATTTTGGAATTAGCTGTAGTAATGCAGCTCTTTCTGATAATTTTTGCCCCTGTCATGAAATTGCCGTTGACATTTAGTGTTATCCATCTCCATTTGTCGTGAATTTGACTTTTTTACGGTGCTTGTAGACAATGAGACGGTTTTTTAAATATCGAATCACAGGTTACATTTAAGGAAGCCGGGCTTAAATTATACGGGAAATTTTACCATGACATCACAAAAAATAACACTTCTTCATAAGATAAAAAAATAAATTTTACACTGTTTAAAAGTAAAAACCTAGTACAATATGCAATTGTGTGCTTAGTTAAATCTAAGACAGTAAGGTATAAACAATTGGCTGTGAACACAGTAAAATCTGATGCAGTTTTGTCCGCGAATGTTCTTGTAGATGGCTTTGACAATGTTATTCAAACCTTCCACAGGTATAATAATCACTATTTGTAGTTGTGCAAATATCATTTAAAATTTTCACCAACGTTGCCATTAGAATAAAAAAAATAATTAAACAAATGTTGCTCTCACGTCAGCATTTTGTGCTCTCAGAAGTTTCATTTTAAAAAATTCTTTTTCACTCTTACCTCAAAATATTTTTGCTTTTTATTATTTTTATGTGAATTTTACGTGGCGATGTCTATTTATAAACTAAAAAAAAATGTATTAGCAGTTTCTTGATACGAGTGGCCAAAAAACGTTGTATATACGTTTTAGTTTGATCTTTTTTAAAGTTGTAGATTTTTCAATTTTTTCGATTTCCTTATTTTTTTTTTTTCCTTATTATTCCTAAGGTACGTAGAGACCCATCTATGAAGCTTTTATATACATGTATTACCATGCAGTTTCTTGATATGATTAATAAGATCTTAAATATCTTAGCATTTCCAAAAAAATAGGACGAACGTTTCTTAAACACTACAATCTGTCCATTTTATTTTCATTTATGTAGTTTACGGGTACTGCACTGGAGTAATACACCTACTATGAAATGTAGATGTACAACTCCTCTTGTGAAGGAGAAGAGACGGAAAACCTTCCTATTGCCATAGCAACAAGTTTCTATTAAATGAAAGGAACCGTATATAATATATAGCTGGGGGCGCACTTTTATTTTCCTCTTTTCAAATAAAGAAGATATGCCCTATTTTACCCCCATTTCTATCCATTTCCTCATTAAATATACAAATCTATTATAAATTACTTTCTTATTTACAAAAAATAAAATTGTTTTAGCTCAAGGACCTGCTTGCTTTCATCATCCTGCTTGCCGTGGTGATCCTTGGTGTGGGTTTCTACTATCATGCAAATCTTTGGCCGGATCATGTTTATTTCTGGGGAGGAGGGTGGACAGACTGGAGAATCTGGAAAGTCATTTACTATCCTTATTGGCAGCTCTACGGAGAAACATTCAACGACTTCCTAGAAGGTACGTCTCGAATAAATGTACGGATTAAGCAAAAACGATTTCTTTGTAAGTGATCACACCTTCATACCTATGAAAACTTTCTTTTTCATATTATGACCTCTTTTTTCACTGGCCTCAATAAAAGTGGATAAATTTAATTCCTCATTTTGTATATTTGCTCGTATTATCTTTTACTCGGCATTATTGATATCAAAGGAGATGGGTGAACAAGGCGTGCAGAATTCCTATAGCTTCAGATATATAAATAATTATTTTCGATTTGTGAATTTTTTATTTAAAGTACAGTTCTCATTATTGAAATTTATAAAATTGTAATACACAAAACTTTTCTTAGGAAAATTTTCTCGGGAAAAATTATTCTGTTATTAAAAAAATAATGTGGTATTCGTATGGTACGAACCCTAGCAATAAAAATCCTGAGTATCATTTTCATTTGAGACTAACACGCTAACTACTACGCTACACAACCCCTGATGAATAGTGGCATTTAAATCATGTTTGTGATATGACCCTTCTCTAACAAAAAAAATATAGTTAACTATAGTAAATCAGAGTTTTCAAAGTTATCACTATAGCGTCAAAGTTATTACTGTATTAAATCAAAGTTTTCAAACTTATCACTATAGTAAATCAAAGTTTTCATAGTGATCACTATAGTAAATCACTAAAGTAAATCACTATAGTAAATCAAAGTTTTCAAAGTTATCACTGTAGTAAATCAAAGTGTCAAAGTTATCACTATAGTTTACAATTGTAAACTTTAGTTAACTATAGTATTTTTTGTTAGGGTTGACTAAATGGACGAGTATTTCTCGGAAAGATGCGAATGTTTTGTCAAAAAGTGTATTTTTAAGGTGTAGTGGGTCTTTGCTCCATAATTTCGTTTACCAAAAAGTATATAAGACCAATGACAAGATCGAGTAAATTTACTTGTTTCATTTTAATTGAAAAACCAGCTGTTTATGATGTCAAAAAGCTTGGACTTTAATTTATCGTGGGGAATGGTTGTATAAATTAAATATATGGATATAACGAACAGTATTCAAGCTCAAAAGTCCATTAAAGAATACACATTTTGGAGCAGAGCAAACACGAAGCTCTAAAACATCAGAGGTGGGATCAGGTGCCATGGAGGAGAGAGCATCCCCCGCCTGTGCTCCTTGTTATGATCGGATAATAACGGGAAAATCCCTCAACGATTCAGTGTGAGATTTATGCAAATTGTAGAGATTTTACATAAAGTATACTTTAATGGTAGATAAAATATCAATGAAAATTTTGTTACTATTGAGATTTAATTTTTCACCTCCATGTTTGTCGCACTATAGGCATTTTGCTTGCCCATCTTCTTTTCGTAAAATTCACTCACTTTAGTTTCTTTGCTTCTTTATCCCTTCACTTTCTACCTTTGCCGTCCTCCCAAATAAATCTAGATCTAATGTTGTTTGTGTACATTTATAAATGTCATTTTACAGCAATTTCATAATTGCTTAACCTATAGAATATTTTGTATTTTAGCACCACTGTCCTTTTCACTCTAATTATTGTGTGGTATTTATGTGAGCACTATATGAAAAAATGTCATGATTAACTATGCCATTGCTTATAATGATTTTTCGAAATGTTGATATAAAAGACAGAACAAGTAAGTCACTAAAAAGTAATGGCCTTGTTTAAGAATATTTAAAAATATATACTAGTACAGTAATTTTCTAGACGGCGAAACTTTTGCTTCAATTCAGGAAATTCAGGACCATGTGCCGAGGAATGTACAACTAATGAGACTATCTGGTCTGACGCCTCTGAGGACAGATGTCCACAGGAAGATTGGACAGTAGGGGCCGTGTCCGCACTCTACATGCTGTTCTCAAATCTGCTGCTAGTCAACTTGGTCATTGCTATGTTCAGGTAATGGTTGGCCCTGTATGGGTATTACAAATCAAAAGGGGGCATATGGTGTTTAAACCTCTCGGTCGTAAGTTTTGGTTGTCATGGAAAAAGTAGATGAAACTTATTAATTTTAGAGTCTTAAGGTAAATATGCTCTCAATATTAGAAGAAATTTCAGTTCAGTATGCTTGACGGATACAGATTTGGTACACTGGTAAACCCCAACCCCCAGATATTGTCTGTGATACGTACAGACAACAGACGTAGATGTCAAGAGCGCTCTCCCCGCGCCTCCATTTACTGTTAGTTATTACGTCATTATAGTGACAGGTCTCGATGTTTAATTATTTTTACAAAGGACAGGTACACAACAAAATTACGATTAACAGTGTATGCGATAAGACGATTATTCTGATATCTATAATGAAAAAAATAATTAAAACTGGTGAGGATGTTATAAAAACCAAGGTCTCCGAAGAGAATGTAGCTCTACTTGTTTGTACCTAAAACAGTAACACTTGGACTTAAAACTTAAAACAAAAAGTCATATTAAAATGAGACAAAAACTGTAGAAGGAGTAGCGTTTTGAAAGTATTTCATAGAAATTTATTTTCAGTAACCACGGCAACACCGGTCATTGCAATCAAAAACCGATAAATAAAATAATGTATCTTAGTTAAGTCTACTTGTGAGCCAAGTTATATTGAAATCAGACCAAAACTAGTAGGGAGTAGCATTTTGAAAGTATTTGACAGAAATTTCTATTTTAAATACCATGGTAATACTGTTCATCAAAATCAAAAATCCGATACACAGTATTATTAGATTGACTATCTTTGATGACGAAAACAGTGAAAGTCAAATAAAAACTTCATCATAATAATAATTTAACCTGTCTTGGTATGTTCAGTGATGGAATGACAACACAGCATAATGACACACAAGTTACTGTATATTTAAAAAAGGAAAATAAAGGAAGACAACTCTTGCATGTTACATCCCGTGTCAATATTTTTCTGTGTTTCAACAATGGTGCATGAATATTCTGAAATTTCAGATGAAAATCAGACTGGTACTTAAGTAATATTCTAAAATTATTTGGGCCTTGTATACCTGTATTATCTGCTTTTTATTTGCCAGTGTTCACTTTCCCAACTTTTTCCTGGGAAAGATAACTCTATAAGAACTCTGTATGTTTTAAACATGCCATTTTTTATGGCAATTAGGCACTGCTACTACTTGTGTGCCAAGTGTGTTTTGAAAAATTATTTACAGACGGACAGACAGACAGACGGACACCTTAAAATCGCATAAGCTCTTCTGGTGTATGTAGAGCTAAAATACTTGATATGAAAATTGATTTGACACAAAAATTGTCAAATTACTTAGCACACAAATACCTTATATATTCTCGGCATATTTTGAAACTATAACCCTTTTTTCGGTATTTATATTCAGTGTTAACTGTTATTTTGATACACCTCTCAAATTTCGATCCCGAAAGATTTGTAGTATTTATCAGCTAGAAGACGTTTAAAGTGAAATACATGCTATTAAACATACATAAGAGTATAAGTCTATAAGATTGTTCCAAAACACCAAATTTGTCAGTCGTATCAATTTTGACGTAATATCAAATGTATTTCTTAATTAGCATTATCTACATTCATGAACTTTTCACACAAATTTATTCTCACACAGATGATATCAACAATAAAAAATGGCATTTTACTAAAAATGTAAATGGTAATAGGGTTAAGGTGTTCGCCTTCATAGCAGAGGGTCGTAAGTTCAAATTAATGAGTAGGTTAATATTTATTCCTTACTTAGCATAAAGATTTAATGATGATGTAGATTGTTGAACGGTGGTTTTAAGACGTCATGATGGCATTTTGACATTAAGGACTTCCACGTCTTGCTTAATGTTTACTTCAGGACCGCCTAGAAGCCACCATAAACCACACATAATCCATCTTTACGCTACCTTTATTCAACTTGAAAGCTGAACACGATTCATAAAGGCAGAGATCTATGTTTGTCCGCCATATTACTCTGCATTTTCCGTTTGCTGAACCGCGCCTCTATCAGCCGTTCACTTGGTCTCGGTACAGTTTAATCAGTTTTCACCGATGTGGACGGACGTATTCTACATAGATATCGTAAAACTCTCGCAAGCGACAAAAGTAACTGTGCTTCATCCACGGCAGAAGAAAAGTTACCAAAGAAACACACATGTGTTGCACAGGTCAGTGCAGTACAAAAAACACAAGTACACGTAAATTGCAATAAAATATTAACAAAGGTAATGTAAGATAACCAATACGAACACGTGTCGTCAATTCCACGCAGGTACCCGTGACAAGAAAGCAGTCAGGTGTTACGAATTCGAAGATTATATCCCATTGCTGATTTCGGAGATAGGAAGGCTAATATGGCATTTGACTATTTACAAGTCATAGTTAGCTTTAAAGGAGAGGAAGATGGCTTAATAGTAGCTTAATTATGGGATATATATTACTTGAAAGATAGTTCAAGGGTGCTTTAAGATTGTTTAAAGACGATCTTTAATCACAATTGAAGCCCATATATGCTACCTTTAAGCGAGGAAGTGTTTCATCTTGTGTAAACTCTTCCTTCCCAGACTATACAAGTATAAATGAGAGAGCTACTTTAAGCATTCCTTATGTAACTTAAGTAATTTAAATCCTATAATGAAGTGTAAAATATAAGATAATTTTCCTATCAAAAGTGCATCTAAATTCAACAAATTTTAATGATAGGTAAGCTTTTGAGGTAAGTCATTGTGACATAAGCAACAAATGTTACTAGTGTACGCTAAAATTTAATTTTTCTATTTATTGAAATGGCGCATTACAACCGGAATCAAATTATAAGAATATACCGTTTACTCAACAGCTGTACCATTTTTCTTGACAGAAACCCAACTTTATACACTTATACCATTAAAAGATGACTCCTCTAAATTTTGATGTCTTAAGGGCAAAGGGTTTAGTGTAACTACTGTTGAAAAAGATATCCTCTGCTAAACACGTCTTGTTTACTCTATCTTGAGAGCCCTTTTCCTTGACAGACATCAAAATAAATACACTAGCACCCCTAGGAATAAGAACCCTACTGATTGAGAGGTCACAATGTCAAGGGTGAATCTAGTCTTGACAGAAAGATGATCTCCTCTAAATATCAAGAGAACCCTTTTGCTTCACAAACCTCAAACTAGGTACACTGTTACCCTTAATAAGTAGACGACATGTTTGATATTAAAGTCGCATAGTTTAAGGTCAGGGCTCAAATTGCACACATTCCATACTCAGTGTTAACCCTCTTCAATATTTCAACACCGGCTTCACATAAAAGGTGAAGATAGAATATAGTGACCAATGTCATAAATACAGTAAACAAAACAAATCGTGAACAGCAAAAGAAACTGCGGACCCTTAGAAACACAAGAGGTGGGATCAGGTGCTTTGGAGGCGTAATCATTCCATGTCGACTGGTCACACCCTATTTGAGCCATAGTACTGACCATGTAGACGGAGTATTCCATAGTTAAAAACAATGACCTAACAAATGGTATGAAAAATGTCAGACAGATAGGTTGTATTTACAGAGTCATTATAACGATCGTAGATTTCGGGAAAAGCTGACTGTAAACGAGATTGTTGAAATTCTTGCAGCCTCAACTTATTTGTCAATAGCTTGCCTCAGTTTAAAAATTGATTATATTCGGCATGCTCTTGCGTATCAGTTATGGAGACATAAACACCATGTGCAGGCTTGTTTGTATATTGCTACATAAATTAGGGAGGATCCATGTGTGCTTCAATAGACCTTTTTGAAGTGATTTATCATATTTGTTATGAAGCAACGATACAATTTTTATATTCAGAAGTAAATAATAAGCATGAAAATCTTTTTAACAGCTCGACCTACGAAAGAGTGACAGCTAATGCTGAAAACCTTTGGCGATTTGAACGTTACACCGTGATTATGAATTACAAATATCGAGTTCCCTCTCCCGTTAATCTGGTGTGGACATTCTACAGAATATACCGGGTTATCACCTGTTGTTCATGCGGCAAGAACTTAAGTTCTTGCTGTTGTTGCTCTCCGGACGAGGAAGTCAAAGGTATGTGGTTCAGCTTTTGATTTTGTACACAGTTTTAATAAAATCTCGGTGGAGATTCGACTGGGCTAGATATCTGAGTGACTTCTTCACCGAATATCGGGACAGTCCTTCATAATTCGCGGTTTGAAATTCAGCTACGATTTCGGCCGGATAAAGCAAGAATTATTCAGGTAGGCAACACTGCCGTTCACTTCAATTAAGTCATTTCGTTGTTAAATTTACTCTGTCGGTATTATTTCTACATTGCTTACCGTCTAAGCATGTAAATCTTAACATAAAAACATTCACTGAAACCTCCGTTCAAAATATGGCTCCTGTGACGTAATTTTTTTTTATCTCCTTGCATTAAAGAGTTCCTATAGTCTGTTTTCTTTTATTTGATTCTGAACCACTGTCTACGGTGGCTATCGTAAATAAGGATTTAAATATTTTCATAGAAATATCCTTGAGAAATTATTTTCTGATGATCAGAACAGAAATACAAATTGAAATTAATTTAACCAGTGGGTGGGAAGAGAGAGAGAGAGAGAGAAAGGGGGGAAGGATCGAGAAATCTTCAGTATATCTAAGAGTTTTCTTATGCATTTTCTTAAAACTGTTCACTGCCGAAAAATAAAATTAGGATCACATGATTGTTGAAGTTAAATGTCAACAAATTATTTATTTTTCACATTTTTTGACATTGGTTGAATTTTCTAACGTATATGTTTAACTTACTTTAATATAAAATAATGCGTTAATTTGTCAATGCTTTTCTTTAAAAAGAATAAGTAAACTACATGTACAAAATTCATGATAAAGGAAAATATTGCGTTCACTGAGATTCACTATCATTAAGCCTACTGAGTTTTTTTTCATTATTTATAATTCTTTTTTCAATTAAATTTAAATCTAATTTTTATTAAATATTTAATTTAATTTAATTTTATCTGTAATTTTGTTCTCATAAATATCTTCTTTTTTTGAATATCACTATATTTGAACACATTTTGTACATTATTTGATGTGCAATAGCCAGAGTAGATAGTGGTTTGGAATCTCATAAAAGAAAACAGACTATAGGAACTCTTTAATGCGATGAAATAAACAATTACGTCAAAGGAGCCATATTTTGAACGGAAATTTCAATGAATGTTTTTATGTTGGGATTTACATGCCTAGACGGCTAGCAATGTAGAATTAATAGTGACAGAGAGTTAATTAAACAACTAAATGACTTAATTGAAGTGAACGATAGTGTCGCCTATATTTGAATAATTCTCGCTATTGTTGTCCGAAGTTGGGACAGAATTTCAAGACGTAAATTATGAAGAAATGTTCCACGATTCGGTGAGGACGTCAATTCAAATATGTAGCCGAGCCGAAATTAAGTGTTAACAATGATCAAAGTTTTAAAGAATCTAATGTAATGAATAATTATAACGTTGACAATTTTCATATATGTAACCCAATTTGGAACATGATATTAAATCAGTTTTAAAAATGTAGAAAGTGGTTCAGTTTATAAACTTGGGTTTCAAACATCATTCTACCTGAAATGATGGTAATATATAACGGTTATGGTTAAAAAATCCAGCAAAAACATTTAGGTTGAGAATCAGTATTAAAAGTAATGAACATTGTTTTTGGAATGTTTTAACTTTTTCAGAGGACAATTTGGAAAATCGAAAAAAATTCCAGAGCATAATGGCACAAAGAGTGTGTGATAGATTTGTTTTGACAAAATAAATGTACCACAAAAGTTTATAGATGGAATATGGGGTATTGTGTTATGAAAAATTTGCTGCAAAGGTCTTAATTACATGTATATATTTAAATGTATTCCTCGTTTTTGTATTTAAAAAGAAATAAATATTGTTGTAAATCAATTTGTTTTATGTTTTACTGATTTGAATTACGTTTCAAATTTTTAGTCCAAATTTAAATGAGATTAAGTTTAGAATAAGGATGATGTCAACGGAGTATATCGAATCTATTTGAGAGAAGCCATCAGTCCGTTATTCCTTGCACATGATTACTAAAAGATTTTAAAACTTACTGGATCTATTAAACAAACTCTTATTTCCAACAATAAGCTGCGTCTTCTAGTACGGGAAAATCAGTATGGACGAATAAAATAAAGCGAATTTGACAATTATATCAGTTTAAAAAAAAACAAAACACCCCCCCCCCCCCCAAAGAAAAAAAACAAAAAAAACAAAACCAACCAAACAAAAATAATAATAATAAAAAAAAGAACAAGATTGTATTACAATTCAGATACGCGAGTTAGCAGACATTTTTATACCTCGCCATGAATATGGCCGGAGATTTAGTGTTTGTCGTGTCCTTCTTCCGTCCTTCTGTCACACTTTACCTCAGTTTCAAAGAAAGTATTCAAGTATTTGTATTGAGCTAAGTTTTTAAGAAACTACAATTTATAACTCAAGATATTTTTATCATATTTCATATGCTGATAAATATTGATGAGAACTATTCAATTGAATCAACATTCTTTGACCCTGATATATCCTTTGACCTTGATCTCACTTTTTTCTTGTATTTGTGATTCTTTCAATTTCAAGGAAACTTATTTTTATCAAACATGTGATTGGAAAACAGGGAGATGGTGGCATAGGTGTTGTAGACATTGAATTGAAATTTAAGGCCTTAAAGGCTGCATGGACTAGATCCTTAGTGAAAAAGAATTGTATAATTAGCAAAATAGTAGACGGCTATTTAAATCGTCTTAATGTTGACGTCAATTATATACATGTATTAACGTTATCGGAGACAAAACCCTCAGACTTTAGAATTATTTCAAACCTTCCAATTTTTATAAAGAAGTATTCTGTTGTTTTAATTATTGTAAAAGATACATCGACTAAATTATCTAATGTAAGCTCAACAACCAATATGGAATAAAAATACGATTATAATGAAAACTAGATACTCGTTGCGAGCAACGAGAGGTCTTCCGTCCGAATAACCATCCTTAACTGTGATATTCTTTGCACGTGAAATTACATTTATATCTGGTCGTTGTAAAGACACCTAAAAATTTAACATGGGTCTTTAAAAAAAGATTTTTTATTTATTAAAAAAAAAAAAGAAAAAGAACACAGAATTCACAAAGAGGAAAAAAAAGTTCAACATCATTGATAAAGATAAAAACATAAATTTAAGCAAAAAATTCAGATATAGTCGTGATTAACCCAAGATCGGCTGCCCGAAAAGAGCTAGGTTCACTTTATGCATAAAATGGCCCTGTAGATATACAATTTATTGACTAACACTTTATGTTACATTTTAAACATCAAGATAAAGTAGAGACTTAGTGTTTTCATTTCCTATTAAAAATTTTTCTCCTTATAGCCAAGGTCTTCGAAAACAGGGCTCATGAAATTGCAATGTTCTTGAATTTTAAGGAAAACAAGTATATTTGAGTACTTTCACAGAAGAGAAATAATATGAGCGCACCCTCTGATCTTAAAATGTAATCCTTAGAAATAGTTCTATCATCTTATAGCTGCATATTTAAGATCAGAGGTTACGCTCTATATTAAATATCGAAAATAGCTTTAAAAATTGGCTTTGTAGAATTTTTCAGGATATGAGGAAAATGACACATTTATGACGTCATAATGCAATAGCTAGCCAGAAAATTACGTCATTTTTGATAGATACGCAGTCATCAAAGGTCTAAATGATATTTAATGCATTGTCAACTAAAACCAAGCAGTTTCAGTTTTTCTGAAATTCACAGGGCCAAAAGAGGCCCTAAGTGAACCTTGTTCTTTAATATTGAAACCACTACACTAGCGCAATGTACCAGCCATCACCGATGTTTACCTTACACTCATTCCCTGAAGTAACGAGTGTCAGGCAGGTTAATCTTTTTTTCTTATAGTGTGGAATTATAGGATGAAAACTAGCCAGCTAAATTTTGTGCAAGTACTAGTAGATTTACATCGGATTTGTTACTTGAGTTTTAACAATAACTGATAGCAGAGAAAATAATCTGTTACTGATAAAAACTAAAAAAAAAACTATTGTGTTTACTTCCTTTATTCTTTATGCATTCAACTTTCTATTCTATGCAATTCCAAATTCAGACATGTCCGTGTAATCCTTTTCTGTACTTCTACACTACTGCATCAGACCATTTGTGAAAGGCGGGTCAAGATAATTATTTCGCGCCAAATGTCACGAGTAAATCTTCGCGCCTTTTCTTTGGAATGTGTCTTCGATTGAATAAGTGTACGTGATAGCTTCAATGAAATTTTTAAATTGATATGTAGCTATAGCCTGATTTTCTAGCCTAAGAATGTGTATTTATCACACTGTACATATAACATACCGTATACGGACAAGTAACATAAATGCAGCGCTAAGTTTTCTTACACATTTTATATTCCTCTTTACCCCCAAAGTGGATTATTCCAATTAGTAACACATTAATGAAAAAACTGGAATGTTTCGGAGCAAAACACGTCTCGCCATATGACGCTCAAGGAATCTGATACCTATTATGTTCAGTAACTTGCATCTATAAAGGAATATTGCCCTACTAAAATCAAAGAAAAATATCATTGAAGTTTATTTTTCTCTCATTTGAAATTCTACTTTCAAAATACAATTCGGCAACCCTCCAATTTATGATACAATTGCATAGGTATCTAGCTACATATACATTTGTACCAACATGTTTTCCTCATTTTGTCATATCACAATTGCATCTATGCACATTAATTAGTGCAAAATTCAACTGCAAACTCTCTATGAGGGAGTAAAAAGACACGCTGATATTGTGCCGTCAAACACCGCTGCTCTGACGTCGAACGACATAGCCCCCCCCCCCTTAAAGATAAGATCTTATATTTGAGCCCCAAAAAGTGAGAAAAAATTCGGACATTCTTTGGATTGAATCCGGATCGCCCACATGAAAATTCAACATGCTAACCATTACGCTATCAAACATCATCGCTTAAAATTGAAAAATGATTATATTTAGAGTATGGGTTAATCAATTTTCAAACAAACTACATATTTAGCATTCTTGTAAGACTCTTTATTTAGCCTATAAACATCATGAAAAAATAATGAAAAACAAAAAAGTTCAAAAAATTACCCTTTTTAAATCACTTCCTGTGACGACCGGAAGTGACGATGACACACGAAATGTTTCCATCACACATCTACAAACCAAATTCTAGCATACCTGAAAGTTTCAGACTCCTACCTTTAACAGTTTCTGAGAACATTCATGGACTAGATTTTTAGTGGAAAAAGTGAAAAATTGTAATAATTCCCGACCGGAAGTAACTTTTTCCAAACTTTTTCAATAATTGAAAATGGCATGAGATAACACATCATACCTGAAAATTTGGCTGAAAATGAATGAGTAGTTTTTGAGATATTGCGATTTGAAAAGGTCAAAAAAATAAAAATGAAAAATAATAAAAATAACTAGATACTTATTGCCTAGGCAATAACAGGTCTTCCGTTTTCTTGACTTCTTGTAAAAAAAACAACAACACAATCTTCTCAATAAGATTACTCTAAATAATTTTAAACAGTTACCTCAAGGCTTCCAAAGATATGTAAATACAGATAAAAACAAACAGAATTACTTCTCTGTTTTCTTTATGTACTTCGTCATGAACGAGTGTTCCAAACGAATAAAATGTTCATTCTACACCTAAATAATTCACAACTGATCATCCCTAAAAGTTTCCATGAAAAACTACTCATGTTTGAGACAACTTCTGGTTTTTTTGGTTGGCACTTTCGATGAAAATAATTTGTATGGTCATGGTCTATCTAACATCTGCATTAGCCAAACATTTCTGCAAAAAGAAAAACACGATTTTTACATGATGTAAATAAACTGGTGACTGACTATAAGTTCTGAAAGTTTTTAACTTCAGTCATGTACTGTTTTTGAGCAATAAGGTGGAAAAAAAAAACTCAATTTGAGGACAGAAAAACACGCGACCGGAAGTGCATTTTCCTAAGATGGTTGACTTCACACTAGACAATTGCAGTCTCAATAACATATGTAAAAATCATTTCAAAAACTTTATCAATAAGTGATATTCTTGGGAATGTTAAAAATCCCAATAACATAGTTTCTCTGTTATAACCGGAAAGTGTCGTTTTTTGTTTCCAGTGAGACCAACACATATAGAAACTGTGAAAGAGATTCAATTATATGATGCAAGTTTTATTTCAAAAGTGAAAAGTTTAAATTTTCGATTTCTTTGATCACTTCCTGTAACGACCGGAAGAGACGGCTGACGCTATAAGCCCAAAGAGTTTTGCCTACTCATTAAGTTCTATTACTCATATAAGTTTGGTGTCTTAATCTCTTACCGTTTCTGAGATCTCACTTTGACAAATTCTTATTTTGCGGACAGTAAAACATGCGACCGGAAGTGAATTTTACCAAGATATTTGACGTTACTCTAGACATTTGCAGTCTAAATAACATATCTAAAAATCATTTCAAATACTTCATCTATAAGCGATATTTATTGGAAAGTAAAATACTCAAATTATGTAGTTTTTCTCTTATAACCGGAAGTTGACGTTTCTGTTTCCGGTGGGACTAACATATTTCGAAACTGTAAAACAGATGCAATAATGCGATGCAAGATTTAATTAAAATAAGAAAAGTTTTCGATTTCTTGGATCTCCTCCAGTGACGACCGGAAGTGACGGCTGACGGATTTAAACATATTCTGCAAACGTACTTGTCATGATCTATAACCCCTGAAAGTTTGAGGTCTTAATTTTTTACCATTTCTG